TGACATGGTTTGACACAGGAGAGTGTAACTCCACTAAATAATGTATTTCCATCTTATAATTTATTCATTACCATAATAGCTTGTTGAATTAAAATGTTTGTATTGATAAATACTGTCCTCCTTTTTAAAATATAGAGCTGCAACTAGTGACTTTTATTATTCTACCATTTTTCTGATTGCGTGAATGTACTTAACAATCAAAGTTAGAATTTGTAGTGAACACCTGCAATACTCAAGATTAAGTCTTCAAATGAAATAACAATTTCTGTATATTTTCTATTCTTTAATACAATATATAATCAGAGGCACAATGCATCATGAAGTACTGTGCTGGCTGAGGACATCAGTACTCATGGGAAACTGAATACTGCATACAAATGTCATCCATGCTATTAATATGAATATTGCGCATTTGTCTTCGGATCATCTTCACTCTCTGCTTGGGAAATCATATGCAAAACCCCAGAGCTAAAGTAGGACAGAACTTCCTGTGTTATTAAAATAATGATAACTCACTATGTCCTGTGTCCATTACTGTAACTAAGCAGTATTATAGTCACACAGTGTCCGGTCTGAGATTGAGAGATTGTGAAGTTAATCCTTAGCTGGATCATGTCAAGCTGGCATTCCTAATCATTCAGGTGTAATAAAAAGTGAAGTACCCAGGAGTGCATTTTTACTGAGATCAGGTATAAGACATTGCTGCCTTGGCTGCACTTCATGCTGTCAGCGTTACGGAAATTCCCATAAACGCAGCGACAAACACCCTCTTGGGCTTTATGACTTCAATACGCTTTATGCCAATGCATGCGTTGTCTCGTTAAAGTGATGTGTGAAGAGAGGAATACAACAAGAAATCAAAACAAATCCCTAACTAGATTCCTCATTCCTATAAAGCACAGCCCAGATAAACTTTTAATGGACATTTTTGTCTGTGGTGGAAGACGTGTTTAGATCCTTTCCTGGCAAAAAGGAAAAATACTACAATGTCCTCTGTTTCAAGTAAAAATCCTTCATTCAAAAGTGTAATTAAAGTATTAAAAGTTAAAGTACTCCTTGTGTAGACTGGTCCCATTCTATCATTATATATTATATTGTCTGAGTATTAGTATTAATGCATGAAGCAATACTTTAATATTGTCGCGGTGGGATTTGTGAGATGCAAGTTGTTGTTTTAAATCTTAATCTGCAAAGCAACTAATAATTATAACTGTCAGATAAATGCACTAGAGTGAAACATATTTGATCATTTTCCTCTTAAATGCAGCCGAGTATATGTGCATCTATATAAATGCCATAACTTCGTGAATCAACATTCACACTGGGACCATGTTCTCTGTACTGTGCATGTTGTGCTACTTGTGATTTACTGTGATTTGTTTTAACCAATCTGTAAAGCTGAGGGCAAATTTTGGAAAAAATAGAAAGTAAAGTACCACTAACTTATACTTAAGTACAGTGCTTGTTTAAATGTACTTCATAACTTTCCACCACTCGGCACCGTTGAAACATTACTAACACGATCCAAGGAGCTTTTAACTTCGGTTTTCGTGGTCGATAGCAGGTTATAGTTTTGTGCTGATTTGTTTCTCCACTTGTCAGAAACCAGCTTGTCCCCCGACATGTCATTGTCCTCCTGGCCTCCAACACATTAGACACTGAGGTGTGTAGCTGAAGCCAGGAAGCAGTGTCTATGATGTGCCACACCATGGCCTTTCTAATGAGGCCTGACTCGTAATGACTCACAGCCCCCAGCAGCAGACAGCGATGGCCAGCAGTGGGGCTTATCTCATTGGCACCCTCTGCTGCGCGGTTACACCTGTAACCTTTAGATCACTCCAAATTAGGTTGCTCTGGGAATCCTTCAGTAGTAATTACAAAACAGAGTGGACTGGAGAAGTCTCATAAAAATTGTATATGAGCCCTCCGCTTGAATCTGGAGGAGTGATAATAGGCTGATTGTGCAAAAGACTTGTCACACACACAAGCCCACAACTGATCAGGCATTCTTTCTGTTGCTCCAGACAAGATTGCGATGCCAAGCAATGTTTCCGTTGACTGCTTTCCATTATGTAGATGTAAATTAACACAAGCAAGATGAAACTGAGCATTTTGATGAATGAGCACATGACTAAGTCGAGGCTGAGAAGCAGCTGGGATCTATAGATGGGAGGTGAGCTTCTGTCTTGAGTGAGTCAGTCATGCCTGCTGAGCATCATTCATGGAAGAGTGCAGGTGCTGGTCAGCCAGGGGACGGGGTGGATAATTGCATTGCACTTTAATAAGTCACACGCTGAAGACACATGGCTTTAATCATGCCGATGTCTCTGCTGATAGGCAGCGCTGGGGGCCATAGGTGGCTCTGGCTAATCAATGTCAGTGTTTCAGCAGGCTGGTGTCCGATGTTAACCATGGGTACCCGTGTCAAGATTCAGAATTCCTTACTCTCACAAACACTACATCCTACATACACCTTAACACTACACCCATGCCTTTTGCACTTGTGTCTCCATCAGTAGCCTGAAAGATGTTGCTATTTCGCCAGTTTGTCAGCGCGAACAGATGCAGCAGCTCGCCGATTGAGATGGTTTCATAGTCTCAGCAATCAAAGGGGTGAGGAACAGGAGAGAAATTCTTAAGCGGGAAATAAGGTCTCTGGAGAACATTTAGTTTGGTGTGAATTGAACACGTTTGAAGTGAAAACAAAAACAAACTGTTTTCGTGGATGTCGGCAGATACAGGGAGGAGAAATACAGGAGAGCCTCGAGTGATACATGTCTCATTGATCAGACTTGTCTGTCTTATGCAGTTATGCTTTGCTCTGCAGAATCAACAATGAACAGGAGTTCACTTCGACCCAGTGTACCATTGTTGAAAGTGTGTTACAATTTGTCTTTTCCTAAACATTCAAATGTTAAAATCCATGTTAAAGGACACGGCGGGGATCTGTTTGGGTATGACTACAAATCAGGGAGTCCTTGTCCTTGACATTCAGCTTTTTAAAGTCACCAGCCTGTTCTACTGACATATGCTGTGCTGCACACAAATAACTCTGTGGAAGAAAAACTGTGACCAGATCAAACAGGGTAGTATTTGGCATAGCATCCCAGTGTAATAATAACAACAGTGGGTAGAAGATTTTATGTCATATCAGAATTTGCAATTGCAATCTTGCTTTTTTTGATGACATTGGACAACAAACGTGTGCTGCCTGCACGGTGCTTGCAGATTATGGGGTGGATCAAGAAATAAATGCAGAGTTCTAAATAATTCCTGTTCACTACAAACAAAAAATGTTATAGGCAAATCAAGGGTTTTGGGGCCATTGCAGAAATTCAGGAAATTCTTTGTGATTGAGGTCACAAATTTTAAGAGAAGAGAAAAAATTGTCAACATACCTCTTTGCTTCACTTTGAAATTTTAGATCAACCTAAATTTGGGACTTTAATCTCAGAGAATTGCTGAGGTTTTTTTTCTCGCAAATTTACAACTTAAATCCATAGACTGTATATAGGAGGTGGACATAGTCATCATGATGTCACCCATTGGTTTGTGGACTGCTGTTTTTAAGCCTCAAGTTCGTCGATTTGGCCGTCGCTATCTTGGATTAGCTTTTTGCAACCGATGTACGGAAGTTACTGGAATGTGAAGGAGTGACGTAGAGTGAAAGTGTATACGACTCTGGTAACGACAGCGACCTGTCATTACAGTAAGCATACTCTACTTTATGGTCTATTGTACTCTAAATGGGACCATAATTTACTAAATGAACATCATGCTGTATTGAAGAAGAAACCAGTGATTGAGACCATAAACTCATGTTTACCATGTTTATTGAGGTAATAAATCAAGTGAGAAGTAGGGTTCCAGACTTCCATACACTCAGACATCTTTTTGCAACCAGAGGAGTCGCCTGGTGCTAGCCATTAGAGAAAATGCAAATTCTAAGACATTTTCGCATTGGCTTAATTTGTCAGAACCGGAGGTTGCTGCCTGCTTAAATCTTGTAAATTCTGTATTTTTTTCAGAATATTTCCCCGTCCCCCACCTCCGTTATTATTGGATTAAGTGCTTTGTTGCCTCAATATAGTTGGAGAACTAAAAATACTATATTTTGTTATGAAAAAGTCATATTTTACCACAATTGAGCAGAAGCAAAATACCAATGGTACCAATGGTTTGGAATTATGGTTTCTGTTGAGTGAAATGCTTTTTATCTAATCTGCTCAACTTGACCCAGTTATCAGAAGGTTAATGTAATTTTATTGATATATTCATGCTTGATATAGTAAAGGTTTAGTGTATTTGTTAGCCAGCTGTATGATTGTGCTTCTGTAGACCAGATCATTTGAATTCAGTTCTGATTCTGTCTCAATGTCCACATGTGAAATATGTTGAATTATTCATTTAGCCAAGAACAAAAACAGCCATATTATGTTGTAGTGCTTATGTCTACATTTTAAATCAGAATTCACAGCACATGAATTGCAGAAGAATCTCAAACCCGCCCTCTGACCTTCTGGAGGAATCATTAAGAGCTTTGTAGTGAGAGAATTGATAAACACATCAACGTTCTGTTCATGCCTGTATTATGATTGTAATAACCCTTGTGTTGGCTTCGTTAATGAGCACACATAACGTCATCTTGTCCCAAGCCACTTGTAGTTTTGAAGTGTGAACATAGTTCATTGTACTAGGCCCTCTTGAGTTAATGTAGGCTTTTATTCCTGTGGGTAACGTAGTGTGTCTGTGGATACCAGGTAGGAGGAACACTGGAAAATGGAATAAAAACTGTGTGGTCGGATGTGGAGGCTGCGCACAGTAAATCGGCCTTTCAAGAGCAGCTTTTGTGAACTATATCCCTGTTGAGATTCTTGATCCCATTAAAAAAAAGAAATTCATGAGTTTGTGTGCGCGCATGCGTGTGAGAGCAAGCGAGGATGGAAGCATGTGTCTTGTGTGTGTCATCATAAGCTCATTATTTTTATTTTCTCCCACAGATCTGCAACCTGTCATCACCTCTCCCAGCGAGCGTGTGTGTCGGGGCACAGCGGCACTTCTGTCACTTTGTGCTTCCAGAGCCCCCTCAGCATCCACAAAAAAAAAAAAACACCCAAAGACCACAGGCTGCAGGATTAGGTGAGCTTAAGGCCAAGTGCCTCTGGCTGCTTGTACTGGCTACCTCGCCATATATTCAGGATAATCCTAGTTTTCTCACCTCTCGGCCTCCCGCAGCAGGCTTGTGACTGAGAGCTTGTGATGTTTGCAAAATGTGTTGTGAGGTATTTCCACTCGCCCAGAGCCATTCAGAGAAACGACTGAGGGTGGTGGTCCAATCGCAGGAGGAATGAAAGCTTTCTAGTCAATCAAGCAGAGTCCCTGTTGTATTTAACAGGATTGTTTCAGAGGACGGGCTGCATTTAAAAGCAGCTGAAGCCCTTTAACATGTGTGCATGTTGATTAATCATCCTGTTGCGGAAATGAACATGAATTTAACCTCTGCCTGTTCAGATGAACTGCTACTTAGAGGAAGTGGAGGTCTGATTGATTTTCTGTCACATGTGAGTGAACTACATGCAGCTATCGATGCAGACGTTTAGCTGAACATGTGAATGCCTGTGTTATTGGATACAGTCGCTCAGAAATATTGAACACATCCCCTATAACACAACGAAGCACATGCAGGGCACACAGCCTAATGTAAACGCACCATCTCGTGTGATCACCATACATTGAGCCATACAAAGATACAGTTTCCTTGTAATTATTCCTCCTGTGTTTGTTGTTTATGACACAACGATGTGTGAGTTTTTCTTTTCCCGTGAGGCCACATACAGTTCAGAGTCCCGAGACACATCGGCATACATATCAATCATTAACGTTACTGCTGTTGGCATCCAGGCATTGACCTAATGTATGAGATATGTTGTGTGATAGTCATACATGTGTCACACATCCTTTATCTCCGGTAGCGATGTGCTAAGGTAAGACCTGCTCGTGAGGTGAATCCATCACTGTCACGCATGCCCGTTGATCATATAGACTCTTCCTCTGTACAGGTCTAATGAAATAACCTGCTGCGCTAAACAAATCAGCATCTCCGTCACTGTCAAACAGACGTTTCATCTCTGCAGCCACTCACAGAGTAGAGCACGTACTTTTTGAAGGTCTTACTGAAAGAGAGAAGCACAGGAGCAATTGTTAAGCATCAGCACAGGCATGTATTGTAACAATCCTAACTTGAAAATTACTTTAAAGGAATAGTTCGGCATTTTTGGAAATACACTTAGTAGCTTGGCTCTGTGCAAAGGTAACAAAATCCACTTGCCAGTACCTTTTTAACTGTGTGTTCAGAAAGTGAAGCAATTCGCCTTGCATCAATCACGCAAATTTAATTTTCACTCCAATGTTATAACTGTACAGACGTTAGTCAGAAGCCAGCTAGCAACGTACGCACGATCCGTGTGCATGTTTATCTACAGCTCAGCCTCTCACCGCTCTCGGACCTCGTCAGGAACTCAGTTTTTTCTGGCATTTCCCTCTTTCTCATTTTTTTTACCTGTCATCTCTGTACGTTTATGAAGCCACAGGAGAAGTTCAACTCACTTGGTTGCACCTTTGCCTCAGTTGGTACCGGGCGGCAACCTCCTGGTCTGAAAGGTGAAGCCAATGCGGAAGCGCCTTAAACTTGCGTTCATTCTGATAGCCAGCAGGGGGCGACTCCTCTTGTTGCAAAAATACGTTTTAGAGGACTGATTGTATAAGTCTATGATGAAAACGACTGTACTTAATTAATTAAACATTGTAAACCTGATTTTAAGGTTACAATTGCTCATTTTTACTCTTCCTCAATACAGCATCGTGTCAATTTACTAAATTACAGTCCCATTAAGCGTAAAATGGACCATAAAGCAGGGTATGGTTTAGGGCGTGGCTACCTTGTGATTGACAGGTCATTACCACGGTGGTGTCCATTCTGGGTGTTGACCGGTCTTGGTGTTGACCATGTTTTTTGTCTTTGAACTTTCATCATTTCACATTCGGTTTCCATTTTCACGCTCCAGCCTTTACGCTAACCGGCTGCTGGCTTTAGCTTCATATTTACCGGACAGACATGAGAGTGGTTTCTATCTAAATGTATTTCTAAAACATTCAAGCTATTCCCTTAAACAAGAATATAGGCATGTGTTTTGATGATCTTAACTTAAAACTACTAGATGACTGGAGATGTACCACCAAAAGGTTCTTATTTGAAAACGGATCCAAGTTAAAGCTATCTATCTTTCCTCCGCTGTCTCCCTCTCAGAGTGAAGAATGGGGTCATCTGTTGCCCTGCCGTGCCTGCTGCTTGTTCTGGGCTTAACCACTAATGTATGGAGCCTGAACCCGGACGACCCCAATGTCTGCAGCCACTGGGAGAGGTGAGCATTATCCGCATATGTTTGCCACAGTACATTGAATTTTAGATTTGAAAGAGAACCTGCTGTAGTTAAGCAGCGCATGCTTCCAGCACTGACGTTGTCGATCTTGGAACTTTTTCGACGTACCTGTTACAAGCGCTCTTAACTAAAGTTCCAGATCTATTCCCAAATCTATACAGCAGTATATCGATCTCACACAGCTCATGTCGCCAAGCTCTGAGAGATGGGAGGAGTTGCAGCTTCAAATGAAATACGCAGGCAAATTGATCAGTGTACTCTCATCCCAATCAATCACGACAGCCATGGAGCCTGAATAATTATTAGATGTGCTGGGCAGTGTCATTTATGAGAAATAAGCAGGAATAATTTCTGTCCTCGGTACAAAGGGGAGGAAAGAAAGCTGTGAAGATATATGATCTGAATTATTGCCTGACCAAGGTGAGTGTACTTAGGGATCGTGGTTCCACCTTGTTGGCATTGAAATGAATTCCTGTGGCTTTGAGGTCCCGAAATATCCTCAGACTGTCTCCGGCTGCATATCTCACTAACATGAATCGCCTAAAAGCTCCTTTCAAGTCCTTTCTTTGCATATCAGTCATTGTATTACTTTGATTGGGACTGTGTCCATTGACAGGACCTGTGTGCTGTTATTGTTTTTTTCTCTCCAAACATCTCCAAGGAGTATGAGAATCTATGTTCCCAGGAACGTTTACGGTGATTGCAGCCACTATTCAGATCCTTTACTAAAGTAAAAGTACCAGTACACCAATGTACAAATACCCCTTAAGTCAAGGTAGTCTAAGTATTATCATTATATTGTACTTAAATTAAGAACGTAATTATTCGGCAGAAAAAATTCTCTGAAGCAGAATTTTACTCTTGTAGCTGGTCGAGGTTGAGTAACCACGTTTTTATACAGTTTAATAGTTTAGTCCAGTGGTTCCCAACCTAAGGGTCAGGCCAACCCAAAGAAAGACGTGACAGATCTGACTCGAGATGCTCCATACAGTGAAAGAAGTAAAAACTAAATTCTGCTTCACACATTATTTATTTTTTGTAATATTCTTAGTTTTTCTTGGGAAATATTGGATTCTTTTTTGTGCCTCAAACAATTGATTAGGAAGTGTACCCCTCTGAGAAGTGTTGAGGGGAAATGTCTCTTTGGCTGAACTGCTAAGAACTAATATAAATCTGACACCGCTGATTTAATGTATAACAATTAATTGTATGTAAAACTTACAAGGCTAGTTGTCTCATAAATGTAGTGGAGTATAAAGTGTAGTGGAGCTAAAGTATAGAGTAGCATAAAATGGAAATAATTAAATATAGTAACATTTTCTCACAATTGTTATTAGTACGTATACAGTCTAACTTTCTACTGCTGGTGTCATTTCTGTCTTTTAGCTACGCTGTGACTGTTCAGGAATCCTACGCTCACCCATTTGACCAGATCTACTACACCAGATGCACAGACATCCTCAACTGGTTTAAATGCACAAGGCACAGGTACGTTTGGAGGAGCCTCCTTATTTGTCCCCATATTTGTTTAATGAGTGACTCACCCTCCACTGTCCCCCAAAATCAGAGCCCAGTCATTGAAGGCCCGGCAAATGTCCTTGTTAATGTGGCTGACAGTGAAGTGCTCAGAGGCAGGATGCCTCTGACTATAATCATCTCTCAGTAAATGTTTTAATTACTCCATTAAGGTTTATAGTGGGCATCCAACTATATAAGTACACAGAGTCACCTCCCAAATATTGGCTTTTATGTAGCAGGTGTTTTATACAAAATCCCAATGTCTTTTAATTCTCTTTTTTCCTCCTCATACTTGCCAATAACAACAAAGAAACGTGTTATTTTTTTACCTGTTATATGTTCGGTGCCCTTCAGAAAGAGTCATTCTTTACGTCACGTAGCTGTCTCGGTGTGTTTTCTCCAGGATCAGCTATAAGACGGCTTACCGGCGGGGAGTGAGAACCATGTATAGGCGCCGCTCGCAGTGTTGCCCCGGTTACTTTGAGAGCGGAGACCTGTGTGTTCGTGAGTATCCTCTTAACAAACAAAATCTCCTTTGATGATGACATTTCAGGTTATGTCTGCTGGTCTTTTAGAGAACAGGAGTAAATATTAGGATTGATTGTTACTGTGGGTGGCTTGCCGATAAAGCCACTACTCCCTGCCAGGCCACCATCGGCCTTCCGCCTCTGTCCCCCCCCACCGCTCCAGTCTGATCCTCTTTATCGTGAACAACCAATAACTCACCACCACTACCTCCTCTGTTAGCATGCCACCATCCATGTGTATTTACTCAGCTTAAGGTGATTGAGCCTGATTTAATATGAAGGCACAGTAGTCTGCTCTCTGCTTTGCCCTTCCAGTAAGAGTAATTTAATTGACGTTGTATAACAATGAGAAAAATTAACGAGCCAGCAGGGTTCTGGTTACAGACTGAGTGGGTATAGCACCCGCCATAAAACCACCCTGGAATTCAATAACATAAAAAGAGCAGAAGCCGTGAAAATTGGACTGTAGCGATGTGCTGATAACAACCCTTCCCTGTCGTTTTTATGGCTTCATTAATGGTCATTGATTTCTATTTTTATTCACTCACATCAAACTGAATATTTTTGCATGTTGGCCAAATAAAGACAGAACATATAGCTTCTGAGAGTTACGGTTTTGATATTCTCGCCTTAGCTAATATTTTATTCCCTTTAAGTGAGATTTGAATCACTTTTTAATATTTTCCTAGATTATTTGCAACATCAGGGAGTTACTGACACAGTAACTGCAGCCGTGTAGGTATGCTCTCTGACCACGGCTAGGCTTGTCCTTGTCTCGACTTTACTGGCCTCAGGGCAGCAGAGCACTGGGAAGCCAGCCAGCAAAGAAAAAGAGCTGGTGTGATTATCTGGGGGTCTTGAGAAGGGAAGCGCAGATTGATCAATAATGTATTCATTAACCATTTGACTGACAATGGAGCTATTTGTTCATTTACAGTCTTTTCAGGGTGTTTACCAGGTGAATCTACAAAACGAGGAGGCGGCACTCTCATATCTGGCCTCCCCACTGTATTAACAAAATGTTTTTATTTTGATATTATGTCAGACTCAGAGTGAAAACAGCTGCCCTCCCCTTTAACACTCTTTCAGGTGAAGTGGGGAGACTGAGTTGATAGGGGCCGAGAGGGCAGTTTTGCTTTCTGCTGCCTTTGCAAACTGTTCCACCCCTTTTAATCCTAGCACTCTCACTACAAGGATTAAGAGATTTGTACTCCCCGAGCTTTTTTGCATAGAGTGACAAAAGAGTGCATTGGAGAGCAAATCGACCCAAAATGAACTCAAGTCGTCTATTTCAGGACACTTTGTTGTTTGCTGAAAGTAAAATACCCCCCCTTGTGTATTGTTAGTTTACTGTAGCTTTCTTCATGAAGTCTATTTCATTAAAAGGCCAACATACTTCAACAGTGTTTGCCTCTTAATCCTGCCTGTTTTGTTTTTTGTCATGGCACCACATCAACACTTAGCTCCAATGAGAGACATCTAAATGACTCTGAGGATGTGAAGGCCTTAAATGAACCACAATTATCACATAAACGCACACAAGGCGAGTACTTCTAACATTATCTTTAAGGATGTTTTTCTTTAGTTTGTTGTTTTGCTTCACTCTGTCTTCTGGAAGTCGCTGTCTAATGTTGAACTTTAATCCATTTCTTGGTAATTAGTGCTTGAAGTTTTCGACTAGAGGTCTCTATTAATTTTGTGACCTTTGAATCTGGCGTAAGTCATTACCTTAGTCTGTAACCAGACTATGTAGAGAAAGTGAGGAACCCATTTCCCTCCTAATAAGCATGATTATTACAGTTGTGCATGAGGGGAACTCGCTAATCACAACAGCTCGTAATATCTTCAGAGGCTCACAGGCTCTGCAGGGTTATGAGTCCCTCTTCCTGCAGTGCATTTAGGCCAGATGACTTCTGCATGACTCTTGCCTGTCCAGTGATGCAGTGTAATTCTAAAAATGATTTAGGCGGCAAAATTAATCGGGTTTGGGAAGATGAGATTTTTTCCCCAGAATGGGATTCTGTGCCTTTGATTTCATGTTCATTTTTGGCTTTGTTGCGTTTTTTTTAATGCATCAAAGACTGTTTTTAAAATGAATCATCTCTGTGCTAGATAGAGGCACGAGGAAGAAGCTTTGGAGGGAGTTGTTTGATATGTTCTGTAGGCATATCTTTGAGATTGATTTATCCATCAGCGTCATAATGTTCCACATTTTGTGCACTTCATTTTCACCGCTAGTGTACTACAAAACTACTACAAAAATCACAAACACAGACTTTCGCTGGTGGGTCTTTTTTCCCTTACTGCAGCAAAATTCTCCAAAAACAGGGAGAATAACGCACATAGGGAATAATAAAATCTATTTTGTCAGACATTTTAAAAGATTGTGGTTTGGTCAAAAATATTGAATTTATTAACACCGAATGACAATCACCAATTAGCTCCATTGTTCCCTGTTCTGATAACACCTCTGCATAATGAGTTAGATTAGCCTTTTATCTAGATGAAAGACTCAATTTTCCAACAGATTCCTTAGACATGAGTTAAGCAGAGTGATTCATGAATTTCAATTAAAATGAAAGACCTACCTCCTCCTACTTTATTATGCCATCCCTTCAGAACACCGGTTCAGATCTCAGGAGAAGGGTGCGCTTTATCCTTTCTCCCATATTCAAAACTTCATTTCCATATTTCTTTTTTTATAGAAAGGATGTGAGACATTTGCATTTCCCTGTTCTCGCTGATCAGAATTTGCTGATTGAAAGTAAACGAAATCAACTCATCGTGGTGACATTGAATTCGCCTCCTCTTCTCTTTTGAATACTCTGCATACTGTGGACTCATTGATTACAGGTAGTCGAACTCACACCTTCGTCAGCATAAAACGCTCAAGCTCCTATCCCTTTTCTTTTCGCCGGCTTACTGTAATTAGACGGTTTTCTACCAGAGTACTGACGCTCAGAAATCTGTCCTAAATTATCTTTCAATCTCTGGTTTACCATTTTTGCCTTGAGAGCGTTTCTGCGATTAGCACCGGCTTGTGGGTGTTTGGGATTCACTCCTCTTTCTCCTCTCTCCCGCTGCATCTCTCCCGCTGGCGGTGGATCCTAATCGAAACCTGATTGAGTGATAATCTATAGTAGCACTGTTCAGGCCTGCAGCCAGCTCTCCACTGACCTCTTTGCCTGCAGGATGAGCGCCATAGTGTTGCACACAGAGCTGCAAAAGCACTCCAGGGCGTATGTCAGATGCTTTCCTGCTGCCCTTTTCTCACTTTTGATCATAAAACAAGAACAAATACAGAACAAAAGAAGCATCGCTTGGATGAAGTGTTGGATGAGGTCTGATCTGATCAGTTAAGGCGACGGTCTGACTGTTCTTCTGCCCTTGGATTGTGTATCATCCCTCCAGAGGCCATGCTAGTGGACTGCTGATTCCCATCAGGCGGGGTTTCTCTCTCGTCGTTTTGGCCTGACTGTCTCATTCCTCAGATAAGAGCCTGTCTGTCTTAACCCTGCTGGCCAGATGACCTTGGCTGCCACAGATTTATTCATACTAAGTGCCTATTTTTGTGATACTTTTACTTCTTGGCTTAACACAAAAAAATGGCACTGTGGCAAAAAAAAAACCCCTCTCCTTGTAGGTCACTTTATTATCCAGCTGAACCAAACCTCCAACTCCTGTGAACACGCTCCCAGGAATACTAATGCCGACCCAATCAATCGGGTGCCGTGTTGCTCAATATGAATGATCAAGACAACTGCACACTTAGTAAACACTGAGGTGCCTGGAACTGCAACATTAAAGCATCACCATATGACAAAGCACCGGCTGATCAAATTAGAGGGGATTTACAGCTTGTTCTTTCATTGCTCAGCCTTCTGATAACAGCTCGTTTTGAAAGTAAAGCTATGTGATAAATAGAGATGCTAACCAAGGACTCAATCTCCGAAGAAATCATTGGGCCCAGTGTCAAGTAGTGCAGATGGATGTTGAATATGAGTGCCATGGCTAAGATATAGTCCCCTGATGGTATTAGGGAGATATTGAGTGTTCAATTTTATGGGCCATTTTCTTTCAGCTGTTATCTTGGTGGTTTTCATTATGCTGTTTATTGGTGGTTTAATGATGTTTTACACTCTGCTTATGTGTGTGTGTGTGTGTGTGTGTGTGTGTGTGTGTGTGTGTGTGTGTGGTAACTCAATTATACACTGATGAGAAAATGTCTCTGTGTGTCTCAGCTCTGTGTACAGAGGACTGTGTCCATGGTCGCTGTGTATCTCCTGATACATGCCAGTGTGAGCCTGGATGGGGCGGACTGGACTGCTCTAGTGGTGAGTGCACTTTACTCCTAAACCCACAATTAGTCACTTAGACTCATTCATTCCTAAATGGCGTTCACAGCCAGTTAGTCCGTAAGAATTTACTGTGAATCCTTCAACTGTTTTTGCCTCAATGTACGTCTATCTCAAAGCTGCTCAGCTTTGTATCCTCTCTTCTTAGCAAACACAGCCAGTGGAAGAGGTAAGTCACAATGAATTCATTTTCCTTTGCTGGAAGTGGAAGTGATTTTCTTGATGAATATAACGGATGGATGGTTACATCCCCCCCCCCCCCCCGTGTCTGCCGAGCTCTCTGTTATGGTCTTAATCATGATTAGACTGGTGCCTATGACTTGTTCACTGGAATGATGGATCAATGCCGAGCTGAAACAAACCATTGTGCTGGCCTTTCTGTTTACTGGGGTTTCCTCCCAGCTCCCAGAGCTGCTCTCCAGGCGGGATGGGAGGGTGGAGTTCGGGCATATCCATCCTGTAATCAGCTAAATGCTGGTAAAACGCGTCACCGAGGCCAGAGAGGGGGACATAATTTATTTACTCCTTTGTGATATTTATGTCTGCAGAGAAATAGTGAATGTGCATACAGGAGGTCAGTGACCCAGTCAACATTTCTGACCCCAAATTCTTAACTTCAGCGGTCTGCTCCCAGTAGCATTTAACTGTTATTGCCCATTGCATATTTAAGAATGATTAATGGGAGCTAAAATCATATCATCACTGTTATTGTATAGATCTATGAGTTTTCATTAGCAAGAGAGCCATTCCCTGATTAGCAACTGTGTGTAAATCAGCTGCTCTGGCTGCGGCGGCCCGGTGGAGGTGGATTCATGATGACGAGTCTGAGCTGTTTGCTGCTGCTCACTCCTACAGACTGGTGAGGGTCCAACGGGGAGGATGTGAGGTTCAGGGCCCCCAAGGACTCTTGTCCCACTCTTGGTTGGTTAGGAGTGCAGCCGTGTGTGCCTTTCAGCCTGCAGGTGCTGGGCTAATCCACCTTATTAAAACAGACTTGATGATTGAGACGGAGGCATTATTCATAACTTTAGATTTCCATACCAGGCATGATTCCAGGCTTTTTCATTTACGAGCTTTCATCTGTAGAAATGAGGAATGCGTGCCAATTTTTAAATTAAATCTGCCCTCTTTTTCCTTCATGTAAATGGTTCAGCATGGCTTTTTTTGTCTTTCACGGTAAATTTTACTTTCACCCAGCTCAGGTAGGCGATCAGAGCTACAGTAGTCCTCGTGTTAGTGGATGCAGCCGTCATATTATTGGTCAGGTGGGCTGAAAAGCACACTAATAACATTTATTCAGTTCCAACACAATCAATACCATGGTTTATTCGCTGTTTATTTTACCGCTATTATGTTTTGAGTTGAGGTATTTATGTTCACATAAAAGTCAATCCCCTGATTCGGTAGCTGGTGAGAAGGCAAAGTGAGCTGGTCACATGATGCGTGAATGTGATGAAAAAGTGTGTAGCCCAGGCTTGAGAGATGAAGAGCACCGTGGGATGCTGAGCGGCCTAAAGCCGAAGTGACAGCCTTTCAGCCAGTGATCTGGAGCTACATCAAAGGCTTGGACCTCATTTCTGGAGCAGCACCCACCAGGAAGCGGTTTTGTATATGGGTCAGGTGGTGAAAATAAAGAGTCGGACTGTTTGCGGCCAGAAAAGAGAAGGCGAAAAGGTGGGAGAGTACGCTGTGTTGAGTGCGGTAGCAAAGGCTGAAGAGAGATATCTCCTATTTCTCACCTGCTGGTGTCCACCTGCTGTAACCGTAAAACATTTTATCCTCTTCCCTGCCTGAGGCAAAGGTCTCACTGAGACCACGCCTGCCCTGTGACCTGCCTGAAGTCCTGGGGTGTCTTAGACTCATCTCAAGGACACACTGGTAGATGTGGACCACTGATAAAACGTCAAAACATAATGTTTGCCGCTGACTGTTGTTTGCGAATGCTGTCTAGTTCTACATCTATGACACGTGGATTTGGAACATTCTGAGTTGAGGTTGTGTTCTCCCAATAGAGTGATGAATGATTAATTGTTGTTGTTGGTTGGTGTGATTCCTCTAATGCCTGTGTGTTGTGTTTGTGGAACGTGGTCTTGGAACATGTTTCTCTGATCACATGTCATGGAATTGATTTGTTTTTTTGCTGTTTCATTGAACAGCTCAGGGCATTAAAGCATTTTGGTGACATGTACCTGTTAATGTTTGCTTTGTTTGTTCTTCTCTGTTGTGCTTGCGTGCTGTTGCTTTGCCTTCTTCTGTTTTTATATTGAAATGCACTGTTTGTCTTCTTTGTGCCACTGTGTATACTTTGTTTTTGTCAGTAGGGTTCGTCTTCAAAAACAATGTAAATTAAAAAAAAAAAAAGACTCAATAAAGCAGCCATGTTTGCAAAGGCAATTCAGATAGATGGAGCTCTGCTTATGGGACTGAACAGTATGTCTTTAGTCATTTTAGTTTACTGAAGTATAGTGCTAGGCTTTGCCAAAGTAGTTATATTATTGGGTGTAGTCTGCAACAAATATAGTAAATTGCTGTAAAAACAACGGAGCAATATGAGATGAAATGGGAAATCAAATCTTTGTAGAATATCTGAAGTTTATTGAATGAAAACTATATAAAGATACGATTTTCTAAATCTTATGAGTTTCTTGGGTTTAAAAGTAGACTTTCCTTTTCTAAAGTTGCAGAGAAATGACCCAGTCTCTCTGCCTCCATGGCTGTCTACGTTTCATATGATATAATTCCTCTTGATGAGTGTCACACAGGGTCGCTATATGCTACAGTAATAACACCTTTCAAATAAAGAGAATGATAAAGATGGACATTAAATGTACAAGGTATATTTAGCTGCGACTGTCATCACTTGTGAAGTATTAGGTGCAATGAAGCACTATCATTGATTTCATGTGCATCAATCGGATAATGACATGTTCCAAAGTGCTGAGGGAGATGAAATATGCATAAATATGGAGCTTTTAGTGTATGGAGCCTCTCCTTCTTCTTGGATTTTGCTTTTCCTGGTTGCAGTGGAAATGTTTACATTGTTGTACAGAGATTGTAAAAATCAATGCTACCAAGATAAGTATCTGATAAGTCGAAGGAGTAGTTTAGCTTTGTTAACCACAAAGCATCTTTTGTGTTTTAAGAAGAAATCTATCACACTTAATAGTCAAATCTAATGTGGTTGGTCAGCCGTGGTCCATGAGGTAACATATTCCTCCCTAATGTATTCAAATGGTAAGGCAGCCACTGCTGCGGGGGCTATACACATGGTTAATTGATGAATGTGGCCTATGAATACTTGTTTATGGGATATTGCACCAGACAGAGGGGGCTACTGCTACTTATTTTATGTTAATTGTCAACTAAAACAGTAGGATTATTTATTATTAAGGCTGTAAATCGGTGATTGGTTTCATTAGATATTGAACTCATTGGGCTGGGTCAAGCAGGGATGGTAGATATTTCCTTTAGCTTCATTAACTTATTTATTTGCAGATGACATTTCTTCCAACCAGCGGGGACGCGATATGAAAGACTAACCAGACCAAGACTGTGCAAGTAAACTTCATTTTGCCTTGAAAAACACCCTTGTGAGGACTCCCTCTGGCACCCGTCGACAGAATTTACACGTTATAATCAGAAGTGCATCTGAGCCAGATGGTTCCTCTCCAATCCCACAGCAGCAGGGCATTGACATGCATCGCTGTCAAAGACCAAGAGACTGTGAATTACACTCACTGGGACAGAGATGCAGACACAGATTTACTGTGGCTACACTCGTCCCTCAAAACGTCTCTGTACTTTTCTCTCAACACTTCTCTCTTCATTAATCTTACATATAGAGAATTGAATGTGTGTGTGTGTTTATCTGTGTGTGCCATTGAATGTGCAGAAAGGCAACAAGTCGCTTGTCTTTGAGCTGATGGCTCCATATCAACAAAAAACTGAAAAAAGTGAGGTTTGATCTCCACACCAACTTAAAAAAAGGAAGTCTAAATCAATTGAATTCCTCATTATACAACCATGTAAGAGGAGACATTTTGGGAGAGCTATAAATATTCTAACTATCATTCTGAAAGAGGTTCCTTGTTGTATGTAACAGTTGATGCCGCCTGTCTCATTCATTTTGATAGATCAAAGCGCTCAGGCGTCTGTATTTCTCGCGGGGACAGAAGACGGACTGATCTATAGTGCCGTGTGTGTGTGTGTGTGTGTGTGTGTGTGTGTGTGTGTGTGTGTGTG